ATTCTGCCTGTTTGTAAGGATGTAAAACAGAATCTCTCATTTTGAGTTGTGACCACTGGAACCATTCTCTCTGTTCACTCTACTGGACAAATAGACTTTCTCCAGAATCTCTCTCATTTTCTACATTTTGGGATATGAAGTTTAGAGGAGAGGTCTGGCAGAAAAATAATACTTTTCAGCGTGGTCTGCTAAAATCCATTAAAAGCCGACAAATCAGGATTGGATGTGTACTGAAATAGAGCCCTGTGTGTGTATGGCACCAAGTTGTGAGTGATTTTTGATGAAGGGGGGTTCTAACTTTTAAATTAGACTAACGAATTGCATGATTACACTTAGTAGGGAAAATTGTTAATCAGCAGATGACAGTTTGTTTTTCTGATTGACTGATGTATGTTTTAGTATCTCTTGACTAATATTTCACAAAGAAATGGCATTCTGCTTCATTATTAGGCTTTTTTTTATGTTGAGGCAGGATGTAGAACTTTTTGTTAATTTAATTGTAAAGTATAATAACTAGTCTTCCATCTTCCAGTAATCTATATCAGTAAAGCAATATAAACATATATATGTATATATGTATGTATATGTATGTGATGTGTGAGAGTTTGCTTAACTGTTTACTTTACTGGAAGATTTTTTTCTACATATATACAGTATTTCATTTCAAATAACTAATTGTTATACTTGTTACATTAAATCTCTATATGTAGAGAGAGAGATGTATGTATTTAGTTACTGGGAGGTTTATTTTTATTTTAGCCACGTGTTCATGTGTGTCAGATGTTTGCTGTTGTCTTGTGTTCCTTGAGCGTAGAAATGAATGCCCCAAGAAGTCCATTAACAGTCGGGACAGGATATGAGGACGTAACGGTCAACGAACAAACAACTTCCACTTTTTCTGTTTTGATCTTCGAATGAACAACACGGAGTGAAGTTTGATTTTACAGGTGTTTCATTTTCTACCTATTTCTATGTAATTAAATACTAATTGTAGGGAAACAGAGACAGTGTTCAATTAGTGCACTACCAATTAATTAGTTCTGGAAGTCAACAACTGATTATAAAATCAATACAACTGACTAAACTCATAGGCTCTCAGAACATTAAATGTATATGCATTGATGACAAGTAAGTATATTATGAGCCGTAGTAGAGGCCAAACATTTTGTTACTGATTTTTGGAATTTGATATTGAAAATGTACTGGAACTTGACTTTGGGGTTAGCATCATTAGATTAGCTACAGGAATTGGCTGACATGCAAGATACTGAAACCTTGTCACTGCTGCTTTTCTTCCAAATCATTTGACCTTTCCAATTCCACTCCCACCTTGGCTGCCTTTGCATTACACCAAAGAAATATAAAACACATCAGTTGCAAGATATATGGCACATCGTCCGTGTTTCTGCAGACCGCATCAGCAAAAGAGAAAAAAGCAGTAACAACCAGCTGTCTGTAGCATGATGTACGTCTCGATATTACAGCAGCCAACGTTCACAAAGTGCGGCAGCCTTCATCCTGTGATTGCCGCTCACTCAAGTGAGCCAACATCTGATTTCTGGCCTGTCATTGAAGATAAAAAGATATTACTTTCTTCTACGAAGCACAATGACCAGCAATCACTGCACTATATGTGTCATTAGCCTTCTAATGAATGTGGACATTGGCTGTGTGGAGCGAAAGCGATGGCAATTTAGCTTCCAAAAGGAAATGCCCCGTCGAATTGATCGAACCACTTGGACATCCTTAACCTCTCTTTGGATGCTGCCTGCACATCATTTTGGACACGGCCCTGGTCTGGGGGCATTAATTCCTCCCCCTCCCCAGACCTTTCACCCACACGGCTGCAAATCAGAGGAGCTTATGAGAAGGTATGAAGACGCTCAGTGGATGTCTTTACAGTCACTGAGCCGTGTGAGCATCTCACTGCTTACCATGCGGCTCGAAGACCCACATGATTTGTTCCCAGGTTCATGCAAAGGTACAAAAGTCATGGCAGCTCAGAGGGAAGAGAGATGTGGATAGAGGGACACCTGTTGGACAAATGAAGAACTTCATGCAAGTTTTCTAAGAATAGAAATATATGAAAATGTAGAAAACATCAGAACTATGTTATGGTATGATGTGATACTATAGAAAATAGAGTGTAGCCTATTTCATTCCTCTGAACATGGAACAATCACCTCAAAATAGACAATTCAAAAGGAAAGCTTAACCTGGAACTATTCATAAAAATATACAAGATTCTGTCAAGTTAAATGAAGGTGTCAGACGCTTCTTTCATCCTTGCCTGCTGAAAACAATGTCACACAAAAACAATTGCCCACGTGCAAGCTTTCTTTTTTCTACAAATGTACTTCCTGACAGGAGAACAACTCTATTTAAATGCAGATTTGCACCTGGTGTTGTGCTGTACTGTTTGATTTTCAGTAAGTCTAACTTTCAGACAGTCCCCCTCCATTTAGATGATCCTGTCGCCTACAAGTTCATTTGTCATTCATACCTCAGAGATCAAAATGTTGAAAACAAGACCTTAAAGGAGCTGTGTGTAACATTCTGAACGTTAATATAGCAGCAAACAACTAGCATCTCTGTGACGATACAGCGGAGCACAGAGTGTGTGTGTTGGTGTCCGTGCTTCCTCTTTGCACTGGTTGAACATTACTCCATATGGGATTGATGAATATTTTATTCTAAATCCATGGGTATTAATCTGCCACCATAACAGGCTCCATTAATCTGGAAGACTTGTGATTGTGGAACCTGGTCTATTTGCCTCCATTCGGACAGCAGGTATATATATTTATAGAGAGAGAGTTATCATTAATTTCTAGATCTCTGTAGTGCTTTTTTACTATTTTACTATCACATTGTACTTTTTCTTTTTGTTTGCCACACTTAAAACAACACAAAACGGTGATGGAGCACAGTGTATGCACACAAAACATACACAATCACAGCGCACCCTATATTATCCTATAATAATTGGGGATTTGAGATGATCATTAATCAAAGATCCCCAGATCTATAGGAAAAAACATCTCAGAGCAAGTATAGAACAAGAACAGAAGAAGGGGCTATGGGGGAGTATCAGGCAGGGGCCGTCATACACCACAGATCCCAAATTCTACAGTAAATATGTTGGATTACAGCATCACACCCATCTCACAAGCCTGGTTGAGGCCCATCGGCTGAAGTGCATCTAAAGTGTCGATCCTGTCGATCCATCTGACAGCTGCTGCTCTCGAGTATTGCAAAACTTTGCAATATATTTCCCCCTTTTCTTCTCATTGTCTATGTTTTTCTCTGGGCTTTTGCTGGCCTGTCTTCCACACACAACTTCACATTTAAAATTCTACATGTACCACAAGACATGGAGTCTGGGTAACAACACGTTTGGCAGTAGTTGTGCAAGAGTTTTCACAATGCACTGAATAAGCAATATGTGGCAGTAACTTATTTGGAGTTTACCATAGATACATACATTTATTTTAGAGGGTTTTTTCTCCCCTTTATGTTTTCTCTTAAAGATCCCACTTCTATTAACATTACCCCACAGAGCCAACACACAGTAACTACTGAGTCACAACTGTGTTTGATGAGATTCTTAACATTTGTTTTGCCATATCAAAAACAATCATGATACACCTGATGATAGGATGTACAATTTGCATTATGGAGTGTGGCTAAAGCCACAGCTGTACCGCACTACCGTTAACTGCAGAGCTCTGACAGGGAGTCTACCTCCCGCCCTTTATGCCACAGAGAAACAGCAGCTAACGTAAAGAAAGATGGCAATGGCCTGAATACCGAACACAAGGCTCCTAAACGGCACACGGTGTGTGTGTGTGTGCATTAAGATACAACTCTGATGAGCAGGGGGCACCTCCGAGTATGAATGTGTGTGAATGGGTGAATGTTGACATGCAGTAAAGTGCTTCGAGTGGTCAGAAGAAGCCTCTCTGCAGGTCTGTTGGGTCTCCAGGTGCCTTTAGATCAGTTATATTATCATACAGCCAGGTAGAAATGACTGGCAGTGATGTTTCACATCACTAACAGTCACTGAGTCTGCTGTGGCGTCACACGTGGAAGGAGAGCTGGAAGGAGAGTCTCCCCTCTCTGAGCTCCAGCTCTGGCAGGAGGGAGGCAGCTGGGGGTCAAAACCCCCCAGAGGACTCCAGTGGCAAAGAGCTCCTCAACACGTCTTTTCATCATGGCTGTCTCGTGTGCAGACAGCTGTGGTGGTGGGTCGTTCTCCTGAAGCACTGGTCTACCTCCACTCAGCTGCAGAGGGCATTGCAGAAGTGGAGGGAAGGTGGAGGCACATCTCAGAGTAAAGAAGTGTTCCTGAACTGTCCCAGGACTAAACCAGGGTACATCTGTAACTCTGTGAGCGGTAGATCACATCCCTGTGACTGTGCATCAGTTTCAGAGAGAAAAGCCTGACAGTCCCCTGGAGCTGAAACACTCATGATGGGATGAGATTAATGGTACTAACCACGTCACCCATCTGGCACTCGTCTGCTTCCTGTGACAGATATTCCCATGTGATGATAGTGACGCCTAGCAGCCACAATAGGAACTGCGTCTTAATTTTGCACTCAAGAGGGGGCAGACCACCGCCAAAGCAGTTTCAAAATAAACAAACAAAGTGTGTATTTGCAAATAAAGTGTGTATTCGCCCCGTGATTCTGGTTCAATGGTTTCTTCCTTGGCCTGTGCTACAGCCTTCCACCAAGGTTCATGGAAATAGGGCCGGTAGTTTTTCCGCAATTCTGCTGACAAACAAACAAACCAGAATAAACTCATTACCTCCTTTTTTGCTAATTGAATTAAATTCCTTTGGACATTCCACCTGTTTGGCTGTTCAGACTGCCCCTCGTGTTGTGTATATTCCCAACAGAATGAATAAAGAGTGAGATCGATCAGTGAATGAGGCCCCGATAGAAAGCGTCAGTGATGGAGTAGAAATAAAGAAGAAAGGACCAAGACTCCAGCACTTAGAAACAAATTGGAGCCTTTATTGGAATGTTGCAAGGCATTAAATACACAAATCCCATTATTTTAATAATTTGGTATTTAATTATTAAAAAAAAAAAAAAAAAAAAGAACTTCTGTTCGAACAATACTGGTCTGACAGTCGTCCTCATTCAGTTCCATCTTTATAACCTCGGTAAGTCCTCTTTTCTTTCCCAGCATCACAGAGGTGGAATCCTGACATAGTGGTGAATTAAAAGTTCTGTATGAAGAATTAAAGGGGAGCCAGCGATGACACGTGGGAGAACTATCAGACTAAAGGAAATACTGCGTATAAAGCTGCATCGTGGGTTCAGTCTCTTGCTGATACCGTTATCTATTCTTTATTTTTCTACCCCTGATTTCCCAAGTTTTACATATAAAAAACTTTTTTTGTATGAAATATAAACAAGCTCTCACCGTGATACAGACGTGTGCATTTGAAGCTGGAGAAAATAAATGCGTAAAATAAAGGAGACAATAATATGTTCTAAACTCGTCGATGATCTCAAGAGTCATGGGATGTCGTCTGGACTCGTGTTTTATAAACATAAATAATACGTTCTGGTGTCAGGATTGAACTATTCATGTTGTTCTCATCATGCTAGGCCTCCAAGAACACCATCATCATCATCGCTCACTGCATGTTGCTCAACAGACACAGAAATGTTCTTCAAACTCTTTTGGCTTACAAACCATTTTCCCTCATTTTGACAAATAAAAAAAATGTTTAAAAAAAAAAGGAACATTCACAATAAATTTCCAGCCCGTCTGCGTCTGGTCTCTTTTCTTTCTCCTTTTTATATTCTGGATCGCCTTCCCGTCCCACACATCCATAGCTGAACAAGTAATGAAAAAGCACAAAAGCCCCACCGTCCCCTGCCTCCTGTCCTTTACACAGCCTAACCCCCCCCCCCACCCCCCCACTGTGAGACGTTTGGAGGGCCAAAGTTAAGACATGACTCCAAACACAGGGTTGTGGCGACAGATGCTCGGCCCGATCTCTTCGTAGTCCTTTTTGGTGTGGCAGACCTGGTAGAACTCCGGCTGTGGAAGCACCAACAGAAAATGAAGGTGAGAACATAAAACACACTAAACACATCATTAAATAGATCTATTGTCTGCAGGTGTTGTTTTCTTTGTTGGGGCGTGATGTTTTTTATCTTAAACAAACTGCTGCTGCTCATCTTCTCAGAGATCTTCTATCAGATAGATGTGTTTTTTGGAAAGCAAACGTGAAAGCTTTAAAGTCAAACCGAGAAGTTGATTATTTCTCCTTCATGACCAGGGTGTCGAGTCGTGTGAAGGTTCTAGAAATGATCAAATCCTTTCACATAGAAGCACGGGCCTCTCGTGGATAATGAGACCCTGTAGGTTTGTGTTTGGACTTTCAACTTTGTTTCTGAGAAATCGTGTTTGTCGCGGAGGACAAACTACTCAAAACACTGCAGCGCTGGAGAGACGCTGGCCACGGTTCAGAACACAGCGGAGAGCTGCTGAATTCATCCAGAGATTTAAAGATGAAGCTTCACATTCTGTTTCAATTTTCTCAACGCTGTAATCTTCAGCTTTTGCACGAAACAGGATTTTAATCTCTGTGACAAAATAAGAAGAAAATAATGATGATTGGAGTTTAAATAATGAACCGACCTCGTTAGCGGTAATGTTTGTACGACATCATCAGATTCTTATACTTTAATATTTACATATTTATTTACAATTTTGGACAAATGTTTGAAACCACTCGGATGATGATGATGAAGAAGAACTAGATTCCTACAGAGCTGTTGATATGGAGCACAGAGTCCTTTAACTGAGAAACGTGAGAACAATCATCTCCATCTGGGAACAATTAGCCTTTTGTGAATCACCTGTCAGAGACCTTTGCTCACAGTCACATCTCCTGCTGGTTAAATGATCAGCTGCGCTCACACAAATAACTCATCAAGGGGGGAAAAAAGAAAAATGAAGATTCACTTCCACACAGTGGGACGACAATGAGTTCCACAGCAAATAGGGATTGAACAAAAGTAGCGCATGGCCTTCAGCGTGACACCAGCTGACAGCGTCTGTGAATCTAAAAGTAGACCTCCTCCTCCCGTCACGATGTGGAACTAGTGTTGATGAAGTAGTGCGGTGCATGTTGGAAATACTTACAGTGGATGCTAACATGGATCCACCAAACCACACGGCATATCTCTGCATGTGGTGAGTGATGACTTGGACATCGATTGGTTTGGGCTGCGGAGGGAGGACAGAGAAGAACGGGGATCAGTTACACTCCACCTGGGAGCTCCAGTGTGGGAGGCAGTGATCACGGGACAGAAAGGGGAGGAGTCACTGAAAGGAGCATTTAAAGACCCGGCATTAGGAATCTTAAACCTGCGCACGTTTCACAGATATCATCGACATGTTCTCTACAGCAGAGCAAAATCTGTCTGCACGATGCATACTTCACAATTACAACACTAACTCCTTCAGTCTGAACAAGTTATTCAGGGATTCATTCTGCAACACGATGGAATGCAGCTGTAGCTATTTACAACACAAGAAAAACATGACCAACAAAGCCGTACTTTAACTTGCACCAGGAGGGATGCAAACAGCAGCATATTATACATGCATTGATTTTTTTATCATAGATTTGTATCATAGATCACAGCACCTGCTTCCCCAGGAACACTGTTGTTTTACTTATTGTACATATTGTGATGTCATTTTTGAAGGAGATTGTTTGAGGATGTTTTGGGACAGATGTAGAGTCGGTTTTGTTCTTATTAACCTGCTCCCATGACTTGGTAAATGCAGCATTGGATTAGCTCCCTCCATGCCTGAGGAGGACTTACAGATGCCAGTCAGCTTCAGGCTGGATGACATTCTCACCGAGATGAATCACAGGTACGGACTTCACAGCTCGACCAAGTGAGGAGGAGGCAGGAGGAACTAACTTCTTCGCTGAAGGTGAAACATTTCAATTGCATTCCATTTGACGACCCCCCTGGGTTTGTGCTTAATACATTTGCAATTGAAATCAACTAATCTACATTCAATACACATCTGTGACAACAATAATTGTGGTCTGGAAGGACATTTTTTCCCTCAGTTTCACTCCTCTCGCAGTAATTGTGTTTTGTCGGGCGGTATCGATCTCTGCTGCGTATGCATGAAAGTGCGCTCTCACCTTGAGCTTGCCTCCACTCAGCTCCTCGCTCATCTTCAGTCGGGCGTCAACCGATCTCTTTAAGTCTCTCTGCAGACGGCGGCCAAAGTCCCTGAACATGGTGGAGCCTCCCGACAGGACAACGTTCTGTGGGAGAGAAGGTGATGGGGATCACACAGCTGTGGAATAAGAAGCACCCGGTGCTGCCAGTGTGCCTGACAGCTGATAAACAGCAACGTGTGAACCGCACTCACTCCTTCTCATCATTTTAGTGTCCAATCAGTCTGGAGGAAAGTACAGCAGGCTGGGCACTGTCACAAAATATCAGACACAAGACCCCTAACCATAATTTGAATAGAAGCTAAAATATAATCTCCCCTGAAAATGATGCCATAAAGCTCCTTCCCCACTGGACCCTAAACCCACCAACACTCACTAACAGCTGGCTTTTGACTTCAGTGGGAAAGGTTACAGACAACATTCAATCTTTGGACAAATGACTTCACCGTTTACTAAAACTACTTCCAGTAAGCGCCAGAGTGTCTGATGTCGGCCAGTGCTACTGCACCACACACTATTATTGTTAGCCAGGGTTCCCTTGATTAACAAACCTGCATGTACCGCATGTAAAAGAGTTTAAGACTGTTATTCTGATAGTCTGCTTAGATATGAATAACAAAACGCTGCAGTTCTTTCCTGTATGTCAAACATCGTTACAAATCTTACAGACCCTTGAATCAGTTCACTGATGGGTCTGAATATGTAAGAAATGATGTAATCATTTCAGGTCTTATTGAATGGTGGAAAGCCTTGCCCCGTCGCGTGCCGTCATCAAGGTGAGAGTCAGCTCACCTTGTAGAGAGGACGTCTGACGTCGATAGGACAGTTCTGAATGACCTCGTCCACCACCTCAGAGATGGGCTGGGTGAAGTCCGGGTTGGCGAACTGGGATGGTGAGTAAACAAAGAAGACATGTTGTGCTGTGCGGTGCATGCACCAAAAGCTACAAAAATAATGAACACACCCAAAATATGTTTAAGCAATGTGCAATGAAATATACTTGTGTGTGTGTGTAAACAGCAGCATTGTTAAACACATGACGACGGTCCAGATGATCCACACTGCACTGACCTCTGGGTGGAAGAAGATCTCGGGCCCCAGGAAGCGCTCGTAGCCCACATCGATGGTGAACTCCTTCTTGCTGACAGAGTTGATACCGGTGTACTGCTTGATCCACTTGGAGCCATCCGTGTCGTACTTGCTGAATTCTTTGACTAGATCTGGGCACACGTAGCTGTAACGCTCCTGGTGGGGGGGTAAAGTTGTGTAATCAGCATTGCACAAAAAAAACAAACAGGATTGATTGAGAGCTTATGAGAAGATCAACATGAGTTGTTTTTATGTCTTAAACTGTAATAGGGGGAAATGGAAACTGGTAGCTCAGAGTGGATAATTAGCGGTCAGCTGCACTGATCTGGTCTGAGTCCTGGTCTTTATGAGAGAGTTGGATGGTTGGATGGAGGAAAGTCTTGTTTTAAGGCTGTCACTGTGTGTTTCGGCCTGTTTAATGAACAGCGCCAACGTTTGTCAGTTTCATGTGTGTTTAGAGGTTCAGGGGATTTGGTGACAGCTGGTCGAGGAGGCAGACTGGTGGCTTTGGATAGAAAACACATCACTCTTTTACAAACAAGTGTGCACTTCATGATTCTGCGTAGCTGAGAAACAATACTTGTTCAATCATGCGCTGACTTTTGAGTAAAGCTTTGCCTGTTCCCACTGCACTCGTCTCTAATGGGAGTGTTTGCACTGACATAACATCTGGTATATTTATATATACAGTATATACACGAGCTAATGTTAGGGATATAATAACCTGAACGAGTGCTTCAAACAGCAGGAATTAACTCTGTGCTTTCAACCCGAGCTACCAGTTGATGGATTCGGACACACAGAAAATCTGTGGTCTGTGTTAGCGTTAGCACCGCTGCTAGCTGCTGGAATGTGTGTCGTTTTAGTTCGCTAGAGCTGATATACGTCTATCAAAGTTAGCATGTGGTCAACAAAACGTTATGGAAATAATGTGTTGCATACAAATTCAGCTCTAACAGGAAATGAACTGTTTGCAGCAAGTTGCTTTATTTCTAAATGGTATAATACTTCGAACACACTGATTGTTTTTAAAGCATCTACATCATCACTTTGAACCATACAGATGTTCTTCTTCTTCTTCTTCTATGCAGGAGTGATAATGAGAGCATGGGCTGTTTTTTGTTTCCCTTGCTGATGGCTTCTACGGCTATTTGTGAAGTTATAAAAACGCATTCCATTTGAAAGCTTTGCAGTGTAGTTGATTTTGCTGGTGCAATAGTGACAATGAATGAGCAGAACATAACGGTATACAGGGTTGGGAGGAGACGCCATTAGTGCGATTAGCAGGGACAGTGGTCCACACTGCGAGCCAGACAGCAGTGGAGTGGACCTTTCCAGACATGATTGGCAATATGCACAACTTGCATTCCCCTCGATGCTAATGCTAATTATTTCAATCGACATTATTTCTTGTTCGTCTGTCTCGGGGTAATGAATGATGCTCTTTGACATCGAGGACAAAGTCTTGGATAACAAGCTATTTAATAAACATGGAGGAATTCAGGTGAATCAATAAAACGTGGTGACTGACGGCAGGAGCAACAATAAGAGAAGGCAAACAGAATCAACATGAAGTCATGTCTGCTCGTGATCCGTGCCAATGGAGAACAAACTCATCTGGAGCTGTGGTTGCTCTCAGGTTGAGGAACGGTGTTCATTATCACAAACTAAACAATCAGAACAAAAGCAGGGAGGGGGTGTGAAGGACACCAGCTGAGTGTAACAGGCAGACCTATAGTGCCACCTGGTGTCATTAAGATAAAAGTACAGACATCCATAGTTCATCACTATCGCTATGGGGTCAACAAGACTGAAAGACCGAAACTCATGTCAGCTACATAAGTCATGGACCTCAGCACGGTCAAACACAACTTCATGTGTAATCTCAGTCCCCCACTGTGAGCCTCCTCCTCCAGAGACACACACGTTACACTACGCCTTCACACAATGCTATGGAGGCCTGTTTCTGCCAATGTGATGAAAAAGAAAAGCCGGTAAGTCATAACAAACTTTCATAAAATAATGACTTTGTATCTCAAAATATTGACTTAACACCTCAAATTGATGAGAAACTTTTTGAATATTTTGAGATACCGAGTCATTATTATGAGATACCGAGTCATTATTATGAGATACCGAGTCATTATTTTGAGATACCGAGTCATTATTATGAGATACCGAGTCATTATTTTGAGATACCGAGTCATTATTTTGAGATACCGAGTCATTATTTTGAGATACCGAGTCATAATTTTTAGTTTGTCACTAAAATCACTTTCTTTCATCTTTTTTTCTTTACTGGGCTTACATAAAAATCTGACCGCTTTAATTATAAGGAAATGTGTCTCCAATGCCATCCAATTGGTATTTTCCTTAAGTGGTAAAATTAATAAACTCCAATTCTGTGTGCAGAAAACATGTTTATGTGTTTATGATTATGCCAAATATATTTCACCAAGACAGTAAGAGGTGCTTTATATTATGCAGCAGGACTGCAATCAAATCCAACACCAACACAAAGCACTGAACTACTTCACATTATTCCAATAAGCAATATATGATATGATATATTTATGGACGGCAGACAAAAGAAATCCCAGGGATTAAAGTGTCAACACACTTATGAACACAAACTGTGTTCCTGAGGTATACAAGAAAGACGGTCTGAAACATATAGTCTGATGAAAAACAGCTAGTTATGAGAAGCAGGATGTCCAACTATGTGCACAGTTACATTCAGGTACCATCAGCTGGAGGAACAGGAGGATTTAGCAGATAAAGTTCATTTCGTGTTTTATTGTTCATTAAATGATGCTTTCAGGACTAAGCTTCTTTGATGGAAATGTACTGTTTAACTATGTTTCACCACAAGCAGCTCTTGCATAACACAATAAATAACTACCTCACTATAATATTCATATAATGTCCATGTCAGGACTTCATATCTAACGTTACAGTGAGCTAAACATACTTAACATCCAACCCCCAATACAATATTCTTCAAATATTCCTATATTTACTTTTTCTCTCACTTTCTAACTGTTATCAGTATTGTATAATGTTTTGCTATCTACTTTAATTTTGAATGTATGATGTCATATACTAACCCATGTTCTGTTGTAGCTACTTAATGATATGTCTCTCATATGAGATCAGTGTAATATGATAGGGCAGTCGGTGTGTTGTCTGGAGCCTCTGCACAGGATGCACAGAGAAGCCATTCGATGAGGAAGTGGAGCTGAGGACCCACCTTGACTGCCTTGGCCGTCTCCAGCGACTGCTCCGGTGGGATGCCCACCTCCCTCTCCCTCAGCAGCTGCTGGGTGAAGTAGGTGATGTCTCGCCCTGCGATGGGGATGTGCTTTATACAGCTGCCGATTACATAGCCTTCAGCCTGAGAGAGAAGGGGAAACAGAGTCATGTCATACACGCCACAAGTCTACAGTATAGCTTGACATTCTTCCATCAGTGCAGCGAGGCCTCCCTATCCCCGTGCTGTTGTGTTTGGCTCAGTTTTTAAGCATGTTCAGCAGTGGCTGCAGACATGCTGACTCAGTCACCCAGCCTCTGAATGTATTCTGCAAGCACATTTCCTAAAACTGAGTTATTCCTTCCAGCCTCTGGAACTCTTTGGCCTACTTTTAAACACTATCCTGTTACTGAGCAAGTAGACGGGTGGAAAATGTCTCAGTGCTGTCCACGTAGTGTATGAAACCTCAAAATACACACTGTTCCTACACACTGTCTGCTGCCCCTCAGCATGCTTAAACGTGAGTTGTCAGTTTTCTTTTTAAAAAAGGTAAAAATTAAGGGAATGAGCACAAAATTAATGATTATAAAAACACCATTCTGAACTGGTCATTATCTTTATAAAATAAAAACTCAAACAAACTAGAGAAAACACCATCTTTGAATAATGATGGAATACTTCCCAGAGATTATCAAACGGTCTTTTTGCTTGAAATGCCAATCAATATTCTGAACAAAGCAAAATAAATGACCAAGACTCCCTCAGAAATGAGAACAGAAAGGCCCCCTAAGGAATTTACAAAAAGTCCCACCTAGCCATTGTGACTTGTTTTTAATTGAGATAAATAAACACAAATAAACTTCTATGAAAATGAAATGGTTGTGGGAACATATGAGCCATATGTCTGGCCACACATGTGGATGTTGAAGAGCGACACGGCCAGCGAGAGCGAGCGATAGATGGAGACTCACCACAGGGATGACGTGGGTGACGCCGTCTCCGCTGTCGATGACGGTGCCCGTCAGCGTCCTCTCTCCCACCTGTCTGGACGTCCAGGAGGCTGCTAGAGCAAGCACAGCCTGGCGCACGCACACGCACACACACACACACACACACACACACACACACACACACACACACACACAAATGTCATGCTGATCACATCCTGACTGAGTGTTCACATGTAAAACACATCCCCGTGTCCTACTACACCACGCTGTCATGGTCACATGAGGAAGCACTATTGAGTGCATATTAGGTTAACAGAATCATAAATCAGAAGAGAAGTTTATCTCCTCATATTACACGCACTAGATGAGCCAACATAGCTCACCTGCACAGCGATGTACAGCCCCGGCACATTGAAGGACTCGAACATGATCTCGGCTGTGTACTCTCGGTTCTCTGGTGTGTTCAGAGGAGGCTCTGTCTGCAGACGGAGAAGAATATACACACACACACACACACACACACACACACATACACACACATACACACACATACACAGAGGACAGTTATTCTGTAACATAAGCAGGCTTTGATTCCCCATTACAATTATAATATGGAACTATGAAAGCCTGGATGCAACTAGCATGAGTTAAAATATTTTTTTTTTTGTCATGTGGTGGCAACAAGCTTACGTGAGACCAAGAAGTGCTATTTTGGCTGCAAAGAACGGATATTTGTGCCAACATTTTGTAGTTGACAGGCCATGAGCCCAAATGTTATCTTCACGCTGAGAGAAGGCGGCGGATATTTTATAACAAATGTCCATTAGTCCGTCTTAAGCCTCTTACCAGGAGGAAGTAGTGGTCCTCGGGCTCAGCCCTCAGGTACTTGAAGATGATCTGCTCCATGAAGCGCTCCATTAGGTCCCAGTCCTCCACAATCCCGTGACGGATGGGCCACTGTTGGTACAAGGGTCCAGCTAATTAGAACAGTCCGTTGAGATACGATGGCGGTAAAGAAAAGAAGCCTAAATATAAGATGCAAAGCATACACACTGCAGCACACGCACAGTCAAATGTGTGCGCTTCAACGACTAACTGTGCTTTAAAGAAGAAGTAACATTGTTCTCCACTATATTATGTATTTATTGAGTCAGTTTGCCTTTCAGATTAAACTGCTATAATTTCTCTAGCCACTGAAGCCAAATATCTGCACTGCATTCCAACAAATAGGTTTGTTTATGCTCATTTATCCTGGATGTGAGCAGCTACTCTTATTGGAAGTTACCAACCAGACTGTAATTCTTCATTTCTGGTGACATAACAGCACTTTCATAATGAAATCTGACAACAGGTCCATCAACATAGGACGGTGTCTTCTCTGTTTGCAGGTTGAGTCTGCGACAACAATGTCTAAAATGGTAAATGACATCATGCAGTCGTTATGTCAGCTGACTGCCATCGTTCACGACATCTGGAGGTGAAGGTGAAGTGAGTGAACGATGTCCAGTGTTTGTTCAACAACGCTTACTCAAGAATGACAGTAGACTCTGAAAGTCCTTCCCCTGTGACACTACTACCGATCATAACGGCCGCATTCACTTTAGGTCCCAAAGACATACTACTGCACACAGTATACATACTAATCTTTCAGTATGCTGTTTCTGCAGTTAATATACAAGAAAACAACAAACTTAGCCATTTATACAAACAGGAAATGACACAATAAGACGTTAATAAAACTGCATCTTTAGAAAGCCACTGCTCAATAAACTTATCAAAAGGACAACAAAACGTTCTTCACCGCGTACAATCACATGTATTTTTCCCAGATGTGATCTCTATTGCTTCATATGTTTAATGAGAATAGAGCTAATTTGTCCACACATGTATACTTTATTTTGACACATTGTTATTGTGAACACAGCGAACTGAAAAGCAGCTCAGAATTAGTATGTGGTCCAGAAGTGGGACACCGTTGTGGTGAAGTGCATGCTGGCTAACTGGCTCACTGGGACACGGAAGGGGAGCAGGGCCGTCGCTGAGCATTTCTGCTGCTATGATGAGTCTGCTGTGAGAGGCCTGCTGCCTGTACTGAAGAGGACATCTGAACTAATGTGTGCCGATGTGCTGATGAGTGGAGTCCAAGATGAAGTCTTGGTTTGAGTAAAAGAAAAACATTTCAGCAAACTGGCGGTGAAGTCTCTCCTTTGACCTGCTTCTTGTTTACGAATCACTAAAAGCATCGCATGTACAATGAATACAGCGCTTCTCTAAAGAAAGTGAAAAAAACGTCAAACATTGGCTTTGCCGGCTGTTCTTCTTCTTCTTCTTGTGGGCGTGCTCAGCTGCCGGGGTCGTGTACCTTAGTGGAATATGAGGGCTTGTCTACTGCTTCATCTCCGATGTAGAAATCCAAGTCATCCACCCCCTTCATCATCCTCCGCTGGGCCTGGTCTCCCACCTTGGCCGACTCTTTGATGGCGATACCTGACAGGAAAATGGAGGATTCAACAGAGCGCAACAGAGAGGACAAACACTCTTACAAAGGTGTGTACATTTGAATGAGAAATAAGTTCAAATGATCACGAACTATTCAAATGTTATGCTTGTTGTGCAAATCATACCGAAACTAAAACGTTAACACTGAACGTGAAAGAGATGTTGGACCGTGACCGGGGTCACAGGGACGATCTCGGCTAACAGGAGGAAGGCACACGTGCTCCTCTTTTCACAGAGGCCTCATGGTCATTGTTAGTGTCAGGGTGTGAGATACTCACATGATGGAACGATGAACTGCGGCTCTGTGTTCCCTGCATAGCCCAGTTTGGTGTAACTGCAGGAGAAAAGCGTCACGTTTCATTACAGAGAGGCTGCATGTTCTGGACAAACCAGACCACCTGCTAACACCGCTAACACCCCATTTGTATGCATGAGAGTTTACTACACTAAAAGGCTATTTTTGGCTTCATCCATCCCCTAGTCCTGTGCTATCGTTTTGATCAATGCCATCACTGTCCTTTGGCGGGTTGGTTGGCTGGCTGCCAAAAGCAGCGGCCTCTCTGGAGTTTGCTAATGGGAAACCATTAAAAGAGCCATTCATGTAGTATTGGGAAACTGAACACTATTCATATTTGTCTAGGGAGAAGAAGAAAAAAAAGTTAACTTCTGCATAAACTGACGGTCCTTAATATAAACTGGCTGTGACCTGCATCCGTCATTGCCTCCTTCGCTTTGGGCTAAAAAAGCAAACAAAGCCTTAAAGAGGGAAGTCGTATGAATAAAATGATGATGAAAGAGGTTTCTAAAAATCATCATGACTGGAACACAAAAGCAACATTACGAGGTCTATGTTCTTTCAGTTAGGACAGCGTCAGCCTTAGCATCAAAGACTCCAGACGTCACAGCCTTCTGTGTGTTTAGTTAGCACATGCTAACCAGATGTAGTCCCTACTGGGTTAGGCCCAGACAGGACTCCCATACTTCCTGCACACAGGGCCCAAGGGACTGACAGAGGACACTGCAGAGTCCTGGCGCCCGCCAAAGCTCTGTGGGCATGAAAGGCCACATCCTGGTCATAATAGAGGCTCCTAGGACTTCAACTATCAAAAGGGCCACATCAGAAGAAATTACCTGGGAATGTTATGAGCAAACTTTAGTCTCAAATAGGCTTTAATGTGCCTTAAATACGTCTTTGGTTTGTTCATCTACATAAGTACCAACTTCTAACATTTAACAAGTGATGAAATCTGTTCATTTCCTGTCTTGGACACAAACCAAAGGCTTCTTCTTCCTGGGTGAAAATCGTCCTATTGCACAGGAAATGGTGCATCTCATTTATTATATTGGCAACAACAAACATTTGTGTAGAATAACTACAGACAGGAAGCAGAAACATGAGACTAAGACACAGCACTCACAATGAGCGTCTTTAATGTTGCAGTGTGACAGAGCGCTACCACTTACAAGAAAAACACCAAACAAACAAAGCAGCAGCTTCTGAAAAGAAATACCTGGCAACCTAAGAGTTCCCAAGAAGATACGTGCTGACCCATATTAACCCTAATGAACACATCCCCCATAGCACAAAAGTGGTGCTAAATAAACACAAAATAATGCTAAAAAGATGCTATTTTAATGTCAAACCTCTGAATGACACAGGTGCCTTGATTACTCTCTCAGAAAGGACCCTCCTCTGACATGAACCGACACTACCCGACAGGTGACAGCGAGCACCACTAACCATTTTTCCTGAGTGACTTTTGGTTTGTCAGGAGCTGAAAACAGCGTTCTGTGTGCATAAAGTTATATAATCTTATCTGGCAACTTCCCATATCTGTCTAGCACACTGAAAAACCAACAGCACTGCCAATGTTGATTTTCTAAGGTAGAGCCAGGAGACAGAACACAACGGGAGCATGCAATAGATTGTGTTCAAATACAGCAGGAAACAGGGAAAAATAGTTGGCAGCTCCTCTATGTGCAGCATTAATAAAAAGAATGGCACAAAATGTCGATCTCTGAGGTCTAGGTTCATACTGCCCACACGGGGGAACTTCTCCCACCAGCGACTTACTGCATCTTCTCGTGGCTCTGGGCTTAACAGAGGCCTGTGTGCAGGAGTTTGGTCACTGCCACTACTTTGCTCTTTGATCAAATGCATCACTTTACATACTGTTTGGACCAGCCTCTTCAGTCACTTTGTCATTTGAATCACAAAAAGCATGGATTGCCATTCAGAGACACAACAACAGCCTCATGAGAGTAACAACACTCTGGGCTGACGGTGACAGAATGTAACTCTGAACACCTTCATACCACAGAACAGTCCCAGCTTGTCTGCCTGGACCTGCCTCGACAGGCTTTCTGTGCGCCGCGTGTCTGACGGTGGACATCATCGCACAGATGGAGACGAGCGCTTTGTTAGCTCAATGAAGCACCTACTTTTGTCCTCTATAACTTCACCTTGTGATTTCATTCATTACCACACTGACTGAGGCTCATTAATGATTGCAGCCTAACGTTACGAAATTCCGACTTGTTTGCTTAGGCCAGATGAGGAACTACTCCACCCGAACCTTTGACTGCACTAAGCTGCAACACCTGAGATTTCTGTTTCTGCTACGGAGGCCTTGATGAGACAAACTAAAGACAACCTAACAAACACCATACCCGAGTCTGGATGCGACTGTGGTTCTTTCACCGTGTAGTAGTAGTAGTCTCCTCTAATAATAGATTGAAGTGTCATAGGAAGGGAAGTTGTCGCTGGTTTGGACTTTATCAGCATGACTCGGAGACAGCTGTTGAACTCCCTCAGCACTTTACAACATCTGCCCACAGCTGGCACTCTTTGGCTAAGCTGCAGAGGCATAGCATGCCAACATTTGCGCTGAAAAACAACTAATCGTGAAGCAACTTAAACTGTGACAAAATGACCAAGTGTTATTTCTGGAGATTTAAAAAAAAGTAAATTGTGTAGTCATTGATATTGGAACATATGTGTTATGACTGTAATGTTTGGCCATCTGCTCGATGAGTAGAAACTAGCGCAAGCCAAGCGAATTCTCAGCTGCACTTTCTTTTGCTGTCCCGGTGCAGATCAGAAGCAGCACACTGGTTAACAGCCTGAAGGGAGGAGGGTGGGGGGGGACCAGTGGAGAGGTATGCAATGAGAAGTGTGGCCAGTTCAAGCCTCTACATGCAAGCAACGCAAACCACTGTTAGACCCCCAAAACTGACTGAGCATAGCTATCTTGCTGAGTACTGTTATTTGGACTAATCTGCATGTCGGCAGTAGTTAATTTATCTTCCTCACTAAGAGAATGTTGATCATGTGGATACAGTAATACAACGATTAAGACTCAAGTATATCTTTAAGACACATTGTTTAAACCTTCATCTAAAGAGAAAATATGATCAGAAGTGAGAATATACCAAATACCAAAAGCATAGAGAGGTATGCACACCAATCCATACAAACACCGCTGCAGGAGGAGCGAAGAGACCATCTAGTCCCGAATTATTCTGTCTGTCCTTTAACGCAACATTTGCTGCTGAAGCTAAATCGTATTAGGTCAATAAAGTTTAGACAATGCGTTTAGGAAAATAGCCGGTAGCCTGGCAAAGAAAACAAATTAGAGAAGCTAATCAAAACAGCATGCTCGGATGCCCAGAAACCACCATATATGGACTAAAAAGCGTGAATGAGGAAGTAGAGGCTGAGTAGGAAGTAGTATTGCGCCTGCTCAAATCCAGACTAACGAGCGAAAAGATTTTCTGCATTGCACTAGCTAAACTCTCACATCTTCAATGGACACGTTTTGTATCAACATATTAGAAATGAACATAGAACGTTAGACCGTAAAGGCCCGCCAGCTCACAATGAATGAAACCAGCTGTGCCTTCCAGCATCATAGCGTTTCACTGGCTGGACTCTTCCCTTCGACAGGAAGAAAACACAGCCTAGAGATGAATCCTTGCTAATGATGAGACTAGCGAACGAGTATGGAACCGAACATGAAAAATAAACGGTGACAGAGCACGGCAGAGCAGCTCAAATGACCGGACCGAGTTTCTCTCCGAATGTAACCGGGAGAGAGTAAATCACAGTTCGCTGTTCGTTAGCATATTAGCTCGCTGGCTAGCCGTCTGCATACACTCAGAGATAGACACACACCCAGTTGCTGCTGCTTCTGCTGACACTGACAGTCCCTGACCGTACTCAGCCTCTCCGTGACACCCGAGCCCCCTGTGTGCACAGTGGTTCGGTTAGAACAGCTTACCCTGTGCCGCAGTCGACAACACACGCCGGTAACCGTCCAGCCATCTCTCCCCGGGTCTCTGTTGGTTAGAAGCGGTTAAAATGTGATGGATAGCAGGCTGTGTCGGCTGGAGGATATAGTAAGCCGTCCACAGGCGGAACCCTGAGCCCGCACAGTGCCGTTTCCACTTCCGCACTCGGCTTCTGGCAGGCAGGGAGAGAGGCAAGATGGCGGAGGCCGGGTGGAGAGCGACGCAGGCAGGGCTGTGCAGCTGTCAATCATCGAGAGAGGACGACGGCATCAGTTGACATGGACGGATGTATGAGAGTATATCTTGTATCAATACAGCTCACTTTGTTTTATTTGATTTCATGTTCACTATGTAAATTAAGTTATTTGTATGCTGCCTTTTCTTCAGTTTCCACAGTGTTCATGTGTGTTTACTGAAAAATAAACCAATATTACTATTTCTTTGTGGTTTATTTATTTATAAGAAATCCTCGTCCTTTTCTTACATGGATAATACATGTATATACAGTTCGTGTTGTTTTCAAACTTCAATCAATATTGAAGAGAAAATGAAATAACAATCCTTTATGATATTTCATGGATATTATACATTAATTACCGCTCCAAAACGTAATTTATATGGACATTAAAAATTGAATATATATATATATATATATGTATATATATATGTATGTATATATATATGTATGTATATATATATGTATATATATATATATGTATATATAT